GCATGTTTGCATGGGTGTGTGCTTGCAGGACCTACTGTGAGACAGACATTGACCCGGCCCACCGTAAGCTGACCCAGCTGCAGGCTGTGGTGCTCTACCTCACTGGCAAAGAACCTGATCTGGATTGTAGGTTGACATTTTAGCAAATCATATTTTATTGAGAAAATACTAAACATACTTTAACCCTCAAAATCAACCACTATTATGATCCTGTGTATTTTCATGCACACCAGGATCAAAAGTCATTTGAACACTGAAATATCCTTAACCACATATTACTGATCTATTCAGACTGGCTTTTAATTTGTGAATTATGCTGTGTTGCTGTTTTAATATTTTAATTTTTATTCTTTATTCTATTTTATCAGGTTTTATCAAACCACTGTAAAGCGTCTTTGAGAACCTGGAAAAGCGCTTTGAAATATTGACATAATTTATTATGTCAGTCTTATAATCTTTTGAACAATCGTTTTATTTTCAAATCTACTTCAAATTAAGAAAAGGTTGTCACTATTGATTTAGAATTCAAACCAAACTATTTGTAGTTGTACAGTGTGTTTAAGACAAGACCTTTTTTAGAAGGGACAATGAGATTTCTTATTTTTACATAAACTGCACTTACAGGGATACACTAATTAGTTTCTTTTGGTAGTATTATGTTGGCTCCATTCAATGCCTGACATTTAATCTTTGTCTTATTCTTTCTTTTTTCTTATGCAGTCATTTTTATCTTTATTGATATTATTGTTGTTGATTTTGATCTTTGTCCTTTTCCCCCTCGACAGGTGATGTACAGTTGTTGCAGCAAACTCTTTTTGATGCTGTGGTCACGGCTCCTATGGAAGCCTACTGGACCGCTCTAATGCTGAACGCATCTGGGTGAATATAGACACAAATGTGTAAATAAATGAGGATATAAGGCATGGACCCTTATCAAGATTACTGCGTTTTTTTTTTTACAATTTGCCCCTTTATCTAGCTCCACCTCTTTTCTTACTCATATTTTCTCTTTTGCTCTCTCTTTCAGTATGGAGGAGGGTGTAGAAACAGCATTCATGGGGACCCGATCAGGCCTGATGAGATTCCAGAGATACGCTGGTGTTGAGAAAAGAGTTGGGAAGTAAGTAGGAAACATGAGGCCTATTTCAAGTGAGTATGATCACATCAAATTACTCATACGATAAAGTCCACGGCCAAAAGGTTTGAATTTGGTTAAATAAGGCGATAAAACTGCTCATATGAGGGTGATACTGATTAAAGAGCTGGATTGAAGCTGAAATTAAATCAAGGTTAGAGGTGGCCCTCTAGTGGTCAATGCAAGCTGGTATTCAGTACAATCATGAGCTTTAGGCACAATTCCAAAACTGCCCCCTACACACTTTCACTCCTTTTTCGTTTGCGTGGAGGGTCCGCCTCATTAAGTGCCTTCCAAACAAACAAGTGGGGAGGAGGAGTGTTATCAAGCCCTCCAACAGCGAGTCTGCATCGGTCCTGACTTCACCTGCTGCACTACCTACCCGACCCACTGTTGTTTGTGTCCGTCATGAATAGGGTTGGTTATCGTTTGCATTATAACGATTCCGGTTCTGATTCCGGTTCTGCTTTTCGATTCTGGTTCTTGATTTCGGTCTTTGAGAGGGTAAAAGATTTCACCGGGAAAAAATATATTATGAAAACATTTAGTCAAAACTGTATTCATATTTTCAAATCACTTAATACTGTTTAATTTGGTTGCTGTTATTGAATAAAATGATATAAAATCATCTCTCTTTGCATTCACAATTTAGTTCTAAGTGGTACAATCTGAGAATTTACAATTGGCCCAGTCTCTGATGCTACTCTGCAACCTGCCTGTAAGACAGACTCCTACCACACACAGTCTGTGTCCAACACATGTCCTGCAATACATCTGCTGCAGCTGCCCAACTGCTTCACTGTTTGTAAAAGTAAATAAATAATATCTTCATTTAAAAAATGTACTTTCTTTACCCTGCTTCATAAACAATACTGACATCACTCTGCTCCTCCGAGTCTGTCTCTCAGTCCGGGGATGTGAGGCCAGCGCACTGCGGGAACACAGACAGGGAGGCTGCTCCGCCTCCTGTTTCACAACTCTTATTAATCCCGGACGATTGTTATTTGTTCTTACTCCCAAAATCGTTTGATTTTAATCAAAAAGAGATTTACAAAAAAAGTAGAAGACGAAAGAAACGGCATTAAAGATCTTTTTTGTTTTATTTGAGTTCATATTTTTTGTCCAAGAGATGCTGATTGAAAATCTTTTTACGAAAAGTTATGGCACTTCCTATTTCTGCCGGAGAGGGGAATTTGTCCGAAAGCTTGGCGGTGTATTTACCCCCTGAAAGTAGGGAGCCTTGTTAAGCTGTGAGTGTGACTTTAGGGTGGTTTGGAATTGGGCCACTCACTTTTATTGCTTTCCCTAATCTTTCTATTGACCTCTCTTTCCTATCCTGCTTTTAAACCTTCTTTCTTTCCTTTTGTTACCATAATTACCTTTTTACATAAGCATATTTGTATCTCTCCCCAGGTCTTTCCTGACCTCCTCAGACAAGGAGAATATGTTCACGTTGGACCATTTCCCAGTGTGGTACCGCAGAGCATCCGAGAACCCAGCTGGACAGTTTCTGTACTACATGCCCAGACAGGAGACAAGAGGTAGTGGAGATAATCTTTACGTTGCAAATACACACACACATGCACACACACTCGGTCACATGAAACAATCTCTTAGCTTTTTTTAAATCCAATTTTCTCAGCAATGTTCCGCAGGTTGAGCCGGATATTTCTCAGTGACAAGTTATTTCTCTACAGCCTCCAGCCCTCAGCAGCTCCTTTCGGTTTACTTTACTTTATATTTAAGTCGTTTGTATCCAACACATGTTTGAAAAACAGTCTTAAAGGATATTTTATTTAAATATATTCTCCACTATAGTCCTATTCTGAGAATTTTGCAAATGATCTCCAAATTGACAATGGTAACTGTCATCACACTTATCATCACATCATACTAACACTTAACATCATCTGTAGATGCGGTCTATAAATTCAAGTCAGTCAAAAGTAGGGCTTTTAGCCTGACCCGGCTCTGCCTCTTGATTTCATTTTCCTATTTAGCTCTGCAAGATTCCAAAGTATTTTTAAAGTGCTTTATAAAACATGTTTTCTGCTTTAGGCAGCAACAACAGACACAGCATTTGAATGCAATCTTTAATAAATAGTACAGACCTAAAGTAAACTCAACAAATATTAGTCTGATAACTCTTCCTTTCCTAATGACACAGGGCGTGCGTACATATCCAGTGTGTCACCCTCTTAAATGTTTAATTACATTTGTTTAGTTCTATTCAAGGTTAGGTTTTTTATGATTGTACCTATTCTATACAGCTGGATGTTCTCCATATACAGTATGGATTACTGTACAGTTATAGTTCAAATATACTGAACAATATAAAGAAATAAGTACTATTTCTAAAGTTTTATGATGGCAATAAATGTTTTCATCATTAATACAATGAAACATTTCATAATTCTGCCATCATTTTAAACTGGCATTAAGTACAAATGTACACAAATTGTCTTAAACATGTATATTTTTAGGTGGATGCTAGACATAGTCTGTTGTGTTCAGATATATTCAGGGACTATGAGGCTGACTATAGCGCCACCTTCAGTGCAGAGGAGGTGGAGCACCAAGCGGAGGAGGGAGGTAGGAAACCAAGGGAGGCAGAAGTGGAGGAGGAGGGTAGAGGAAAACTTTACTTGTACTTGGCATGCGTCCTCTTTTTATCCATCCTCGTTCCTCACCTCTAATTTCAAAAGCAAGTGCTTTGCTCTGTTTTCTGTTTCTCCTTTCTTCTATTTTCTAGCTCTGCTCTATTTCTTATTCCTCCACATCCTTCTCTTTTTCTCTATCTCTCACTGCATGAGCATGCAATTAAAGGATGGGAACCTCCTCTCCTCTCTCAGGGAATAAGTCAACTTTCAGGTTTAATTGGCATTGTGTTGAGTCAGTAGCTTGCTTCACTGAATATGAATTAAACATCTGCTTTCATAGAGTACATGGATTTATTACACTGTTACTAAAACATTCTACAACATTTAATGGAACTAAAAAAAGCATCTCATCCAAGGATTTCTTAATTGTCATGAATGCATAGATTTGTTGTTCTAAAGGAGTGGATAGCTCTTAATATATGAACATGGGGCACTTATAAATAGGGATGGGTATCGTTTGAAATGTATCGATTCCGATTCCGATTCCGGTTCTGCTTATCGATTCCCCGTTTCGATTCCAAAATTGTAAAAGAAAGAGCTCAAACGTTTAGATAGCAAAAATATCTTTATTCTTTTAAGCTTTAACTGGAATTGTTACAAATAAAAAATATACATGCAATACAAATTGCACAATAGCTGTGCTTTATTTTAACTGAGCTATGCCTGTGGCAAGCTATTAACAGGCATTACACTGTGCCTTGTCTTTTTATTTTTTAGTGTAGTGGAGCCTCACTTCAGAGCGTTTACCGCGACCCATCTTTGGTGTTATGAAGTGACTGAGCTCGTGAAATGTCTACGGGAGGGCGGGGGGAGCCTCGCTGCGGGGCAACTGTGGACCTCTGTCGCCTGTCAGCGCAACTTACATGATGCCGTTTAAAAAAATTAAGGGCGGTGCCGGCCGTCAGCGTACCGAGCCGGACGTCAACGGCCCGCTGACGACCGGCCGTTCTGTGATTCTCCAGGTCCGCCCTGTATTCCACCGGGTCACCGCGGCGCAGACGGACCCGCTGGAATACAGGGTCTACCGCGTTTAGGAACCGTTAAGCAGAACCGAAATTGTGTATTTTGTATGGGTACCCGGTACCCGGCATTTTCTTATCGGTTCCCAACCCTACTTATAAACACACAGTCTTTTGGTTATGAGTGTATTAGCTCATTAGCTCTCACACTCTGTTACATAACGCTTCAAAGGTTCATCTGTCTTGGTTTTATTAGCATCAGCTGGCTGACGGCTGTGAATAGACACAGATGAATGCATGGCCGTGTCCACCTCGGACTGTTACCCACATATTTACGAAACAATGTACATATCTGTACTGACATTTCAGCTGCCACTATCACAGTAAGTGTCCAAAGACTTTCAAATGATGTATTCAGTGAGTTCATACTTCAGAAAGTTCCTTTTCAGCTCCTGTGCACGCATACACTCATGCATGTGTACATGTCTGGAAGGAATATGTGTGTGTTTGTAAAGTGCATGCACACACCCATGTTTCTCCATGCATGTATGGATATCGCTCTGTAAATGATTGCTAATTGTGTGTGTTGCTCTACCAGCAGGGAGGATAGTGATCGCCACCACTTCTGTCACTGTGACGGTGGGCAAGAAAACTGCCATCGCTGGAGGTATGGATGATCATTTTATTTGTATACACACTCTCTATTTCTGTCTTTTACATACATGTCATTCCTCTGTTGCATCTCTCTTTCTCTCTAATTTTTAATATCAGTTGCAAATATCTTGCTGTTTCATCCGATGTGTGCATCTTTGGTTAACGTTTTGAACTTGTTTTATTCATAGTTTTGCATTTTGTGTTCTGTTAGACTACTTGTAGTTGTTCTGAATAAGATAACATTGTTCTTTGAAGACAAAAGGATGTTGTGAGCCTTGTAAAATGTGTACAAGATGTGAAGATCCCCAACAAGTGAAACAATTGAGACATTGTTATTAGACTCCAGCATGGCCAATACTGGATTTCTAAGGCTAAATTGATATGACACAGAGGCTTTCTTACTTTATGGTCTCAGGCTTTGTTTCAATGCTACCTGCTGTCATTTTGTATTTTGCCTGGTAAGCCCATGTATGTCTGACACACTCATCAGTCATCATTATCTGATTGAGTCAAGAGCCTCTGGAACTGCATCCTGTGAGAACGTGTGTGTGTGTGTGTGTGTGTGTGTGTGTGTGTGTGTGTGTGTGTGTGTGTGTGTGTGTGTGTGTGTGTGTGTGTGTGTGTGTGTGCCGGCATTAGGTGTCTCATTATTCTGACAGACAGACAGGAAAACCCACTCGAACACACAAACACACGCTCTTATCTGTGTTTCCCAGCTCTCGTAGAAATGGTTTCAGGTGTGAGAATCGTGTTATTTTCGGAAATGGAGTAAGCAGGGAGAATTGAGAAAATTCTAGAGGTGTTTCTTTCTCTCTCTTAATCTCACTGCCTCTCATTCGTTCTGCTTCATTCTTTCTCTCTCGGCTGGTTTGGAAGAATTTTTGTCACAATATGCCAAATCTAGCGCTGTGCTTTGGCCTACTGTACTCATCTAAAAATAGAATTTCCATGAAAGTTAGGGTGTAGTATAAGACACATCTTATCAAGAGGATACAAAAAATGTGTGTAAATTCATAATTATTTATGTAAAGGGCAATTTCTGTGTGCTGATGGATCCTCCTATGATGGTCTCTGGTCAATGGAATGTACGTTTGTATTCGTTTCCACCAGCTGTTTCACTTAAAAGACAGCACAGAGGGAAAGGTGGTATCAATGTTTTATGGACTTGCTCTCTCACTTTCTTTAGCACATCCTGACACAAAGATACACACTCGCATACACACTACATGATGTGTTTCACACTTTGACACTCTCCATTACCCTGGTAAACTCTCACATACATCTCTCTTTTCTTCACTTCTCTCTTCCTTAGCTGTCAGATCTGTCTCCCTTTGCTACCTTACGCTTTCTTCTCCATCCCTCTCTACCCATTGTTACATTTTTTCATGTGTAGTTTTCCTTTTATTTAGTCCTTCGTTCACTTGTACTTTAGATCTGGTTCTTGCTGCATCTGTGTAGGCCCTCTCTCATGGAGGGTCACTTGGCTTCTCAACACAATAGGAATACTCCAAAGCTGCCTTTTCATGACACACACACACACACACACACACACACACACACACACACACACACACACACACACACACACACACACACACACACACACAAAGCTGTACTGTACACTTCTGCCATGACTTCTATGCTTGTATGACTGTCTATAACGTATGCCTTGATCTAGCATTTGACCAAGTTTCTTGTACATACTGTAAAATCAGAAAATGCTGTACACCATCAAATACTTTTTAAACAGCTGTTACTTGCCAAGATGGATCACTGTAAAACAGTGCAGATGCCTCATCTTCAGTGTCTTGCTCAGGGACGTCAGCAACATTATTCAAGTCACATATGTATATCTACACTTGTAGGAACAAAGAATACTGTAGCAGTTGGTAGGTTAACTAACCAGACATTCAGTTTATGAAATACACAGTAGACAAATCTTGCTGTTTTATGCAACAAAGCTTATGTGATGATGCGTTTCTGCTGAATGCAAAAAAGAATTCCTTCTTGTGCATGGCCATAAGCAGCGGAAAAGGTTGTTATTCCATTTCTGGCCACTGAGTGTCAGTGTTTGTCTGGACAGAATCCTGTCAGTTCCCCTGTGTTTAACTTTCAAGCTGACTCGGTGACAGATTTAATTTCTCCTCCTGTGATGAAGGCCAAGGATTTGCTTTTTTGGAGGCTGATCCCAAATCAGTCAACAGCGACAACAAAAACACTGTTTATACTCCTCTGAGGCTCAGCAATGGATTAGTATATCTCTGTGGCAGAAGTGACAGGCTGTATGTAAATAAAGCTTATACGCTCCTATTGACAGAGAGGCACAGAAAGAGAGGAACAAAGAGAGATAAGTAGGTAAATAATAACAACACAGGGAGAAGGGAGGGAAAAAATAAGCGACAGACAGAGATATTTGACATGGGGGAGGAGGAGAGGGAGTGTAAAAAGAGGATAAAAAGGAGGAAGGTGAAAAAATGAAAAGAAGACACAAAAGACCAGACATAGCAAAGGATATAGAGGGCAGAAATGAGAAAGAAAGAAGGTGAAAAGACCAAAAAAATGATGAGAAAAGAGGCAAAATGAGATAAGAAGAGTATACAGAGGAGCTGTTATCATTACTTTGTATTTAGTAAACCTCAGCTATTATTTCTATCTGCTAACATCACATTTCCTGGCTTTCTCTCTTACCAAAAACTGTCATTTATAAATATTTAGTTTTCCTCTATTTTGGACGAGAAAAGCCCCTATCATTGACATTTGTGTTGGACAAATAATAATCACACTTAAATGTAATAAATAATGTTATCCTACTGTAATTGCAATTGTAAAATGCAATGTTATGTAATTAATATTATTTTTGAAACACATTAAGGATGATTTGGCTGGTTCATCTATTTGACCCAATAACTTTCTAAATATAGTATGAACTTCATGTAAGGCATAGGTAGTTGTGGTCTTTCAAAGCTTGTCAGTGATCCGGATTTACATTTGACATGAGTGTGATATGTTTTTATTTAAATCAATGCATATTGACCAGAAAATGCTTCATCACCATCACCATCATATCATTATTGTCGTAACCACAATCATCAAAATAACACAACACACCATAGATTTTCAGGCAATATACGGTAGTCTTTGAGGCCCTTAGTCATTATGGCTGCTGCAACTTTACGTAACAAACTATGATTTATAATTCTTAACACACACAGGCTATAGGAACAGGTTTCAGCTAGCTAAGATACTTAGCTACCAACAACACAAGACCTGCAGACCAGGAGGTGAGAGGACACTGTTTCTGTGTTCGTAGAAAAAGTTTAGCCATTACGTTTTTTAAAGTTACTGCCCTACAGACCTGGATGCATGCCATAATTACATTTTCCCGAAGATACCGATTGTTAGTCTCAGTCTATAACTAAATTATTTTCACCTCCTTGTCTCTTCTATTTCTTTAAATTAGTGAGGTGATCATTGTTGCTAAAGTGCACCAGGATTTGATTTGCAATGCACTTTGTTGTGCATCTTGACCTCAAACCGCTTCTATCTCCTACAAACCACTTTTATATGCGAATCATCTGAATACAGGACGTTTTGTAACGTTGCAGTCTTGGCTTTTTAAATATTAAATGAGGACCATAACTTTTTTCGCTACAACTTTTTCCCCTTGGGTTAGTTCAAATATCTTTACAAAAGCTTTACTAAACAGTTCATCATGTTTGATTTCCAGTAGGTCCCATAATGAAATGTTATTTGTAGGAGAGGAAGTTGGTCCAAGTTGGTGGTATAATATAATAGGGTCCATAACTTTATTTTTAATATCGTCCTTAATCAATGGCCAAACTCTTTCTATGCCTCTTGCAGAAACTTCACCAGCTACGGAACACAAATGAATGAACACAACAACAAAACCATACATTACAGAGATATTTAAACCTAAAACAAAACATAGAAGTCATTAAAACAACAATAGACATACATCATGAATTGATACAGAAAACCATAATCAGTTACGACAAAAACATTTGGGGGGATCGTTGGGCCAACACACCATATTAGAGACTCAAATAATAATATTGATATGCTTCATACGAAGGTATAAGATAACACACTATTAATGTAGTTGTATTTCCAGCCAATTAGAAATTGAGAGGGAACAATAGTTTGACTGTAGGGGAGCAATATGCAATGAAAGCTAGATGTTTGAGGATGTTTCACTACAGACACAAATGTGTACACTAACCATAAATAAATATGACTATAAATATTTCATGGCATTATTAAGGATAATTACGAAAACACCATGTAAAGCAAATAAACTAGCATTTTTTTGTGAATTAGCTGAGAGAGAGTCTGATCCCACGGATTCCTCTTGAGTGAGTTATGATAACTAAGATTATATACCAGAAGGACTTTTGGTGGTGACAACATTTGTATGTTATGATGACAACTTCCATTGCACATTGCAAACCTTTGAGGAAAAACGTAAGGACAGCAATATGGGAGGATGTATGAAATGAAAAGAAAGAGGTGGAAGTATTTTAGGAAGTGTGAAATACTTTCCATAAATAGCACTGGATGGAAAGATGGATGGAGAAATAAAATGATGAGAAAGTGGGGGAGGAGGGGGACAAATAGCAGCGTCTTTTTGTTTAATCCCTTGTTCGTTATAATCCCTCTGGGCAAATCATCCCTTTTTAGAAAAGAAGAGCGGGGTGGGGGGGAGGGAGGCCAGAGGGGATCAAATAAAGGAAATAAAGTGCAGGAGTCTGACGTTTGTAGTCCTTAGATGTTTTGTAGTCCTTGTCAGGAGACAGGGTTCTCTGAGATAGTGCTTCCGTGCCATAGTAGCAAACGTTCACCTCTGACGGGTGAAATCAGTCTGAAAATGAGCTCTAATCAAAGAATATTTGTTTTAAAGCAAAGTCTGTGGTCCTTATAATCTCCGAAAAACGTCATTACAACAGCTGTGTATACTTTTCTGAACCAGCCTCAAAGTCCAAGTAATACCGGAAAAGGCTTATGATCCCTCCAGATATTAACAAGCATCAAATAAGCATGAGCCTTATTCTGAGCAAAAGTGACAGATACAGCAAAGTCCAGTTTAATGTTTTGATCCCCTTTGAACCCTTGATGAGATTCATTATGGAATCTCATACACACCTCCAGTTTGTGACGCCTGAAGGTTATTGGTCCACAGAAGATCCAGAGAGAAACAGATCTGGTCCGAATAGGAGGGAGGATGTCCGTTGTGTGACCTTATGTAATTGAAAGGTCTGGCAGTCGTGAATAATCATTTTGTCGAACCAAATGTGTTCCACATTGAACATCCCTAACAAGTCTCAAGAGACACGATCCTCATGAGACTCTGTTTGATTTCCTATCAACATATCATCTGTATCCCCAGTATTCTCTCTGGAACAAAGCGCTACATAGAGTAGACATAAATGACATCTCTTTGTGTTTTATCCAATACGTTTCCCTCATTTCCTCAAACACTGTTTATTTGGGTCTTGGAGGTCCAAGGGAACATCAGAGCAGCATTTGGCCAGATGAGGGTGAAGGGATCTGGGCTGGGGTCCTGGTTTCTTGGAGGAAAAACTGTCTTAGGAGAGGTTGAGGAGGAGAAAACTACGAACAAAACTAAAGACGGGCACTACCTAATACTAAAAGTTTTTGTCACGGTTGTGAATAAACACCATAAATACTGTAAATCCCTGAAAATTCAATCCAATTTCACAAATGCTGTTCCCCACAAGGGTCTTGTAATCGCTTACAGGATATGTTTCATACTGGAGAGATTGCTGAATCCTTTTTCTATCAGCTGATACATATTGGTAAATTCAGCAACAGCCAAGAGCAGCAGTAGGTGGTTGGTAGGCGAGTTGGAGGGATGTTCGATAGCAAATACTGCAGTGAGAATGGGTCTGAAAGGAAGAGAAAATCAGGGAACAGATAAGGTGTGTGTATATGAGTTGTTAGAGAGAGGTTCAGAGAGGGAGAAGGCTAAAAATAGAAAGAGGACAAAGCAAAGGAAGTGAAAAAAAAGTGTTGGTTTTGTTCGTCAGTGGGAGAGATACCATAACTGTACGTGTGCATAAAACCAGCTTGTCCATCGCTCTCCTCTTCGAGCCCTTTTTAAATGTCACCCTTCCAACCTTCATCCTTTGACACGCCAGCCCTCCCCCGTCACTCCTCTACGCCACAGAGGAAATCTGTTTGTCCTCCCTATCATCCCCATCTCCATCTCCGTCTCCCATCAGTGGCTGCCTCTTCTTCAGCTCTCTCTGGTACTTGGCCATCAGCGAGGCATAGATGCAGCCGTAAGCCGCCGCTGCAACCATCATGATGCAAACGATGCCGCAGACTACACCTGCAATCACCACGGTGCCGATAGCGCGCCGCACGCTCACGGGTCGGTACCGGGTGCGGACACATTCCGACGGCGCCTCTCCGCCTCTCGTGTTGGAAGAGGAGTCATCAGTGTTGTCAGTAATTGGTGTTGCCCCGCTGGGGTTAAGAGCGTTCTTGCTGCAGGGAGAAACTCCTTGTCCTGAACGAGAACCCTCACCTCCTCCCCCGTTCTCATCTTCGAGTTGGAGGCAGTAGTTGAACATTTCCACCGGCACGCCGCGGATGTCTCGTCCACGCAGATCCTTCGGTAGCGTGCACTCCACCGCGTCCACCTTCCCCCCTGAAGGAGAGGGAAAGAATGGGCCGGGGCAAGAGGACAGGGAGAGGTCATTTAATAAATGCACTATGTCTGTAAAGCACTACCAATTAACTGAGAGAGGGAAAGATAGAGAGCGGGGTGGTTGCGCCAACAATGGGATGAGTCATACATCACTTAACACACAAACTCAGTTAGCTGTGCCCTCCACACTAAGTTGGAGATAGCCTCAACTAAGCTCTTCTATAATTCATGAGATGACATGCCTAGTTTCAGCAGAGCTATGTGTGGAAGACAGAAATATCTGAGTCACTAATTCCCACAAGAGGCAGGATGTTGGGGGATCTACTTTGTTATCATCACATGCTGCATTCGTCTCTCTACAAATTATTCCAACTGAGGTTGCATGTTAGAAAGCCATTGATCTGGATATCCTCAGATATGTAAAGCTGCAATCAATGAGATAAAAGTAGAAGATAAAAGAATGAGGAAAGTGGCATTTCACCCCCTGATGCTTTATCTTGGCTAGTGACAAAAGAATCCCCTCTGCAAACAGAGCTCTCTCTCCAATCTACAGGAGATAAAAGTCAACACAAGCTGCTGTCGCACAGCATTTCACACTTGTTTGGTGCTTTGTCTTACTTTCTTAAACAAACATCGTGCATCGTCTACCCTTTGAACAGCCACTGACATGCTTTCATGTTCCACTATGAAATGTCTTCTTGTAATTTTCTCCGCTGCTTGGATGATTACTAAATTATCAAGTATGCTGTTAGCCAGTCTCTGTCTGAGCTGCTCTGAGCAGAACCAAGCATATAGGAGAATGGAGCAGGAAAGAGATGCGTCATTAGCGGGGCAGCTGAGGCCCGAGGCGCTGAGGTGAATGTCGATTTTTACACATGAAGAGAGAGCGAAGAGCAGCTGTGGTTATCGGATGTATTAACAGCCTGCGGAGACACGTGGACAACACACACAGTACACACAATGAGCGTGGCAATGTGCATTCACACTCCAATGCAGTTGTTTTACTCGAAGCACCAGCACTAAAACACCTTGCTATCTGTAAGGTGAAGTAAGACTTTCTAGTTTCTGCCCATATTACTATGGGGTATTACTACCCCATAGTAATAAATCAAACATCCACCTCTGTACAACAGCCACTCCATCCAGTGTTTGAAATCGCGGAGGTTGCAGTCACATTCCCAGGGGTTGTGTCCCAGTTCCAGGTGTTGTAGGTTGGCAAGGGGCTCAAACGCTGCCCTCTCCAAACCGTGAAGCCTGTTCCCCGCTAGAGACAGCCACCTATGAAATAATTGGAACAAAATTAAACATTATGTGATAAAGTCGTGTTAACTAGCAACAACAAATTGTAAATGCATTTGAATTAAACACATAAAAAACGGAAGTCGAAAGTAATGCTGAACAAACAGTTCAATGAACATCAATGTAATAATATAAGATGTAATTTTGAACACATTTTCAATTGTGGCACGCTGTATATTGGCAGGGCACTGACCTACTGCCCTCCTAATGCTCATGATGTTAACAGTGTGATCTTACACTAGTCTTGCTCCGGGGGTTTTAAGAGCACATTGATTTAAAAAATTGATTTAAAAAGAGTGTGTGTGTGGATGTGTACCTGAGGCTCTGCAGCCCATCCAGTAGTCCCAGAGGAACAGAGGACAGACCGTTCAGGGACAGATCCAGACTCTGAAGACCCCCTATACCCTGTAGAAACATCGAAACACATCTATATTTACCCATCTATGATTATACCATACGGCATTGTACAGTACATTCCCCCCATATCAGCTCTATTGGCTCCCTTCACTGCTGCCAAGGGGCACAGCTAGCATCAGGGTGGGCTAATCTTGTTTGATTCAGGGTCTCAACTGAAGTCTTGACACAAGCTCATCCTGCAGACTGCTTTGACTCACATGAAAGTGTTGAGCAAACAGTTTATTCCTAATTTACAACCTGGACGGGATCCCAGTCATGTATATGTGCTTAGGTTGGCTCTTCTTCTAAACTGAGCCTGTGCAGCCTCGCCAGGAGTTGATACAGTGCTTCAGTAGGGGTGCTATTTTCTCAACTTTTCAGACTTATGTGTATTCACATCCATAGTATTTTGGATGAATGGATCTAATTGTATATCTTATAACAGTGTATACCATTTAGCACAATGTCCTATGAGATTTTCTTGTCTTGTCAGTGAGCTTCATTAAAGTCTATCGCAAGTATGGCGTATAATCTACAGCGCCTACCTGGAAGAGGTCTCTGTCCATCACTGTTAGGGAGTTGTTGTGCAGAGTCAGTCTTGTCAGGTTGGACATGTCTCTGAATAATCCAGCTGGTAAATTGTCCAGGTAGTTGTTAGAGAGGTCCAGCTCCTAAAATCCAAACCACCAAAAAAATACATTTTCACTTTTGCATTTTTGACACAAATGTCTTTCCAAGAGGAATGTTAAAATGTGATTTTTTTTTGCAATACTTTAACGCACATTTTATACCCTAAGCTGGCAATTCTATTCATAGAAGCTCCCATTGAGTGCAATGCTACAGTAGAATAACTGTGAAACATCTGACGGTCAATCAGAATGGAGAAAAAAACAAATTGTTCATTCATTGTTCATATAACAGATAGATGCTCGGCAGTGGGAAAGTCAATTATGTTTCAGTTTAATTAGGGAGCTGTCCTCTGGGATATTTTGCCTCAAAAGTGACAAAAATTAGTGTATGTTTTCTGGAAGGAAATAATTGCTGATTGATAATCTGAAGTTCTAAATAACAAATATTTATTGTATTCAGGGCTGGGTATTATAAGCTGCTAGAGGTTGTAACTAATGAGGGTATATTTATGCAGCCTTTCTTGCAATAACTATCCATCATTTTCAGCCCTTTTATTTGAAAAAAAATAGTAAGCTAAGCATTTTTCACAATATGCCGATACTTAGTAGCCCTGCAAACCCTTGACATGCATATTCTCTTCACTTTTTAGTTTAACAGTAGAGTCTGCAGTTGCTCAATAGGAGACTTACTGTTCAGTACTACTGGGTGATATTCAGTGTGAAAGGTCAGTGCAGAGAAGAGTGTAAACAACATTGTAACAACACTTTCAGCTGCAAGGAGAAAGAAATAATTCACTGACAACAAAAATTAAATGTACTGCAAACCTCCAGCGAGGAGAGGTTAGCGAACGCAGAGGCTCCCAGCGATGCCAGCTTGTTGTTGGCCAGCAGGAGGGAGCGGCTCCCCGGGGGCAGGAGGTGTAGGGGAGGGAGGGAGGAGAGGCCCCGGCCCCCACAGTCCACCACCAGCCTGTCTGAGTCGCAGAGGCAGGGGGGGGGGCAAGAGGAAGCGGCCGGCAGCAGCGTCGCCAGCATGCAGAGGACACAGAGGAAGACTTGAGGAGGAGGGAAGAGAGAAAACAAACATGATTATTTTTTAAGTGGATGATCTTTTCAGTACATCAGGAGGATGTGCAGAGAGAGGGAGAGAAATAAGTGGACACTTGAATAGGAATTAATAAAAGATGGGATGGTGAAGTGGAAATGTTGTCGTTTGTGCTGCTAGGCACTTCGTTTGTCTCTATCAGTCATTTGGCCAGTGCCTTTTGTGAGATGCATGTAAGAGGAAATAAAAGAACATACCTATCTTTACATATGCTATCACCGAAAACCAACAAATCCTGCCTCAAAGATCATCTAGAAAACTAGTTCTGTGTGTGTCTAGCCCACTCTGAATAGTATTTTCATTGCAGCAGTCTATTCACAAAGCCATGTCTTAAAAAGAGACTCTACTTGTGTGTTTCGCTTTGTCTTTATGAGTGCGTCTGGCTGTGTTTTCTTTGTGGAGTGTCTCAAAAGCAGTGACAATCATGAGGGAAATTCAATTTTGGACTCATTGTTCCCCTGCAGAGTATATTCATTTTATCATTTCCACACATAATCTTTTTTTTCCTTTCTGTTCACTTTTCATTCCATTTTGTTTTGTATGTCATTTTTCGTTTCTTTTCTGTCTTTTTGTCCCGCATCTGTCCAATCAGGCCTTTTCATTCATTCGTTTACATACACATTTTTCTCTCTGTGTGTCCCTCTTCCCACTCTGTTATTCTCATTCTCTCCAACTCCAGTGTCTTTATCTTTTTCATTTTCTTTCACTTGAAGTCTCTTGGCTCTGCTCTGTATTCCCTCAGTGCCTCGTTACAGTGGCTGACTTTGTTTCTGTCCAATGGTTTATCAGCACGACTTGGGCTCTATCTCTTTGTGGACGAGTGTGTGTGTGTGTGTGTGTGTGTGTGTGGGTCTATGCTTGTGTGCCTAGCACCAACAAAGCGTGATATTAAGAAAACTACTCTCCAGACGCAGCACTTTTGACTCCCTGACAAGACACTTTGCGTCACCAGCAGATTTCATCACTTGCATCATCTGCATATTATTAGCATCTATTTCTCAGCGTGCCATTGCCTTTTGTCACACTATGTCTCACCCGCTCTCTGTTGTTGTATTTCCTCTCTCTGTTAGCCCATCTGTCCATTTGCTGTCTCTCTTATTTGTTCTCCTCTTCCTCTCACTCACATTTAAGACTTCATTGCCTTTCACCATATTGACTGTCTGGCTCTGAGAGTGATGCAACTCTGTGAAATAGCCCTTTAATGGCCACTCCACAATGTGATATGTTAAACAATCAGCCTTTATCCAAGCCTCTTAAACTCACTACTGATACAATTACATTACATTACATGTCACTTGTTAGACGCTTTTATCCAAAGCGACTTACATACATTCAGTGCTGTGGGCAATCCCCACAGGAGCAATTTGGGGTGAAGTGTCTCAGGGACACAACGACATGCTGACTGCAGTGGGACTTGAACCTGCTATCCCCTGATTCAAAGTTCAGCGCACTATTCCACTGAGCCACAGCCCCCCCCTCAAAATATGACGCTTGATAGAGAGTTGAGAGAATATTTTATAAAACCAAAATAATATTTGATTCCCTTTATACATTCCAATGAGAACAGTTTCATCAATGGATAGACAGGAAACGTAATTAATGATAAATGATGAGTAATGCATTCAGAATGGAGGGAAGAGCTGCATGATTTAAGAAAAATATCTGGTTGCTGAATTATTTATCATCTCTTTGAGCTCATCAAAATATTGTTAAAGGGACAGTTTGACATTCTGTGGAGGAACATGTTTGGGGAATATGCAGCTACCCAGTACACGGTTACCTTAGCATGAAGACTGAAAGCAAGCAGGAACAGCTGTTCTCCTCACGGTGACAAACCAGGACATTTCTGTGCCCAGCCATGGAATAGTCCGGCACATTACCTCATGCCTTTTTTTACAAGATATAACATTTTAAATGGTGAGTTTAAGTGATGCTGTCTTTCAGAGCCAGGCTAGCTGTTTCTCCTTGTTTACAGTCTTTATGCTAGGCTAAGCAGCTTCTAGCAGCTTCATGTTTATCCTACAAATATTAGAGTGGTATCAATCTTCTGACCTAACTCTCAGCAGAAAGGGCAATTGGTGCAAAACCAAAAATGTCTTACTATTAGAAGTGCAGTAAAAATGGCAAGAGCAGTTTTGTCTTTACAATCGCAATTGAAATTGAAAAACATATAATTGGTAGACTCAAATTTCAAAAAATGTTGTATTCATTTGATCTCCCCAGGGTAAATATCTTTTTGGCAGCAAATGTGCAAACACAAAACGTCCATGTGGAAATGGCCATGGGCAGTCAAAACTGTAGATAACACTTTTTTGAAACCTCTGGAGAATACATTATTTTATCATTTTTCTTTGAATACACACCGGCAACGGTCTATAAATAGCATCTTTTCTCAGGTTCACTGCGGGAGAGAACATAACCTCTCTGCAGGACACTGCCCCATCTTGCAAGTATTTTGCATGTAAAGCCTTTAACAGAGATCAGTGTGTGACATCTCCTGTTCCTGCATCCATTATCCTCTCCGCTCCATGGCGGTTTAATCCTAGTCTGTGGGAAAATTAACGCCACTTCATAAATGGATGAAAGGAGAGATTTTGAAGTCTCCCTGAGCGTCTTGTGCCATGTTACTTTGTAGCGGGAATGCTTTACAGGGCCAATCTTTCACTGTAGCTGCTCAGTGGGAATCTGGAAGGATTTTGCTGCACTGTGGCTGTACATTTCCCAGAACAGGTTGGAAAAGGTACAGTAGGGAAGGAGACTTGTGAGGACAATATATTTCAGAGGTGGAATTGCTGTTATACAACCGACAGAGCTGGGAGAAATTGTGAATTATACTTCTTCTCCCTCATATCGTTTCAAATTTCAAGTTGCGGTCATTTTCTATTTCTCTCTGTAATGGCCTTTATTTTGCAATGTTTTACTTTAACTCCCCTCACCCTCTTCTCTCTTCTCCCTCTCCTACTTTACATTATAACTCCCCCTCAGCCCCTCCATCTTCCAACTTTTATGAGTGGTTTTAGCTGCTGGTGGAGGAGGTAGTTGTTGTTTTGGCTTATTTTAGCTGCTCCAAATCCTCTCTGCTGTACCGCTACACGCAGCCAAACCAGAAGGAAAACATTCAGCCGCAGTCAGAGTAAGATAGGGAGGTTCAGTACAAATACGTTTAAGTGGTTCTGTGCAGTTTAATTCAGTCCAAACAGACTTCAGACTGAATTTTTTACAAGATTCCCCAAACACATGCCATAAAAGTGCTGACATTTTGGGTAAATGTAGGCTGGCAATGCTTTCAACGATGGGAAACTAACTAAGACATGCAGCATTAAAATGCAACACGATGTTCCTGTTTGATTGAGGCAAGACTTCTGGAGCGCACAGTATTGCCCAGTATACTCCCAACACCACCAACTAGTATTCAGAAGAGAAAGTTGTGAGAAATGTACAGCAATCCAAGATAAAGTCATTTTGATAATAAACTGGCTCAGAATTACATTTAGACATTTGCTTTCTTTGCCCTATATATTTGACTTTTAAAGCAAAAACATTGTTCGATTTATCTTGATACTGAAATATCTTTCTAACCTTTTTTATTCCTATCCAATTGCACATTTCACTAGTGTCTTGTTGTGCTTTCTGCCTTTTTACACTTATCTGCACTAAGTTGCAGCATTATAGTAGTATGCTGAACACACAAATCCTCACTGCTGTGCTGTCATTGTGTTATTTTAACAGTTTATCACCAACATCAGCATATGAAGAGTCATATGACTCCTGTAACTGTAGTGATGTTTGACACCGTCTCCTAGGCAACACTGCCTGACACCTCTAGGGCCTCAGCTGTCTGTAAGTTTATATCTAGGGGCCCCTGGGTGATACTTGAACCAGCTATGTCACCACCGCAGGCCCATCCACTACTGAGCTCAGTTGCATGTTACCAGGGGCTGAGCTGTTTCCATGCAGGCGACAGACACACTGCTATCCTATTACCAGAGCAACCAGCTGTCCCCTCTGCATCACACTCACTGCAACACACACACTGCAACACACTCAGTGCCTCCTTACGCTTTAATGTTTCACATGGAGCTCTGCAGGACACAGAGAGTGGAGATTTGACTCCTACGTTTCCTGATACAACTTTACAGTATGCCTCCGTTCACATGTAGATAAAAAGGCTGAATATTTAGTGTGAACTGTTGTCTTGAAGTCAGAAGTAGTTCTCAAATAATTGATTAATATGTCAAACTTATTTGATGGTTCTTAATTTATGGCTTATTTATTAAGCATCTTTTACTAGTATTTTCTGACTTTTTGTAGACTCATCATGGGACAATAATTCTTTAGTTATAGCACGAAACAGTGAAGATGCTTATTTAACTTATTTTTTAGCATTCAGACCATTTAAGGGACTATACAATACAAAATATTGTGAATAAAATAAAGCATTAAAAGGTGACCTGCACACCTGATGATTTTCCTCAAGATCAACTAGTTCCTTCAGTATTAGCAAAGTTAATGGCATAATGTTTAAAATATACAGTACATAATTTTTTTCTTTTAATTATTATATATTGAATGCATCATGATCACAGTTAAGGATCCAGAATGGCAGTTTTGAATCGTTTTAGTTCATGACTTCGAAGGTATTGTGTGAGTGAAGCCAGGATGTAATCAGGCCTTCAACGCTTTGAGTAGCAGAGACAGCCACGAGCAGCAGTATCTAAAAAATTATAATTTGCAATATCTGATACCATCTGCAATATGTCAACACGCTGTGTAGCCCGTCCTTTTACATCAATTGTGTGTATGTAATTTGTCAGAGGCTGTTACATGTCTGTAACCAGAGACCTTGTAGTTAGCAGATGGAAAATAGTCAGCAAGCGTGTGCACAGTGTGTGTGTGTGTATGTGAGTGAGTGTGTGATCGCTTTGAATGCTTGTGTTTGGCTCTCATACA